AATCTGTTTCTTTCATAAACTGGCTTCAATCTGTGTGGATATTGTTGATATTTTATACTAAGGAGAGTTGATTCCCCACTGTCAGTGGGCATATTGTACCTTTACTCAGGTTGCTAAAATGGAATAGTGACAAGTAGCTGGAGAAATGTATTCAGTCTCTGCAGATGAGGTAGCCAGCACCAGATAGTCCTTGTTAATGTGGGGTGACTGAATTCTAATACAACATTCCACATTGTTAAGACACGAACTTAATGGAGACAACAGAATGGTGAACCCTGGGAAGTCAATTACATGGCAACAGATGCAATCCCACAGCCGTAACCAGGGTAGGCAGACCGCACTATAGCAGGTGAGACTCTACCTTCCTCCATCTTTTTTAGCCCTCAATAGCATGCCCCTTCCTCCCAGCTCTGTCTCCCAACTAGTGCAAAGCCTGCTAGTTAGTAAGGATTTGACAATTATTTATTTTGGTGAGAGAAAAATTTGTAAATTCACGTCACTTTATCTCTTTCCTGTACAATGATGCAAATATAATATTAATATGTATATATTCTGGTCTTCAACAACTAATTTTTATTAGGATGTCTGCATAGTATGTATTTCTTCATCTCTATGTTCATGGAGATCTCTTAAGAATAATCATTTGAATGCATATTTTGAATAAATAACAGAATGGATTTTGAATACTATTCCCCCCCCCCTTTGTAGAACAATCTTCAAGTCAAATACACAAAGTTAAATTTAAAACAGAATTAAAATATCTAAGCATGAATTCTATTTTTACATATATGGGCCTTTAAGTTAATCCTCTGACTGAAAATGTGTGCCTTCATTGATGATTCATAACCTGAAACCGTGTGCCGGCTCCAGGACTTACTAATATAGGAAGGGATTCAGGAAATTAAATTGCTTAGTAAACAAAGATAAATCATTAGCAAAAATCTGTGGGGCTGAAAGTTATCAACGGAAAGTAAAATTGCTCCATTACACCAAGAATTTGACCCTGAATACCAAGGATAATACCTGGCTGATTAAGATAAATAACTAAATAAACAAGTAAACAAATAAATACATTTTATTTTTCTTGTTGTTATGAAAAAAATCTCTCCCTTTCCAGCCATCAACAGGATAATACAAATTCATTTTTCTCCCTCAAACTATATATTAATAATACACACAGTGGATTAAAAAAAAAAAGACCTGATCCTGCTAAGACCAGTGGCAATGTTGTTACTGAGGGCCATATAACATGTTGCAAGTGTTGAATACTAGGCTTGTGCAAAGCAGCAAGTATTCACTTCAGATTTGGATTTGGCTGATTCAGAGGGATAGTGATTTGATTTGGAGATTCAAATTACTCTCCCAATTCACTTTGGAGATTCACCCATAGACTACACAGGCAGCAGTCCTTACCATACTGGACACAGCTGCCTCCAGCTGGTAAGTCTGTTGGGGTTAAGGTAGGGGGGAGGGGCATGGGGGAGGGAGGGATTGGGACTGGAGCTAGAACAAGCTGCCCAGCTGGGGTGGAGGGTGTGCGATGCAGGTGCGGCAGTGCTTGAAGTGGGGGCTATGCCCTGCTGCCACTTGCCCAGCCTGGGCAGGAGGGGCAGGATAAGGGCATGGCTCACTCTGGGCAGAAGGGGGCAAGCAGCAGCAGGGCAAAGCCCCCACTCCCAGGAGTGCTGCGTCTGCACCCCACAACCCCGTCCCTGGCTGGGCAAGCGGCAGCAG